AAACACATACATGTTGGGCAAAGTGTATGGTGGCATTGCACATCAACTTTGCTGTTCTGTTCTTTCCTGTTTAAAGAAAGCATTTGACTTTTGATAATCTTTCTGTTACCATTTTTTTGGTGGTTTTCTTTTTTTGCAATATCTCTCTTTTCCTGTGCCTAAAATAGTTCCACGTGTGGTCTGGATGCTTGGTTGAAAGCTTTTGATATCAATACTGTATTCTTGCTGTCTTCACTGAGTAATAAGAGCCAAAATAAGTGTGTGATTGACCATAGACATTGGTCTTCCTGTGTCTGCATGTTCTGTATCTATATTTTATAAAATATCTAGTTCTACTTGAAGATTTCTTATTATTTCTATAACTCTTGTCTACAGCATGCTAAAATTATGATGTCTTTTAATTGTATCTCAAGGCCTTTGACTCTCGTTTTTGGAGAATTTTGCACTTTGTGTTGGTTCAATCATATTGTAGGTAGGTGTTACTGAAATTTATAGAAGGTAGCAGATTTGGTGAGGGAACTTACTGTGACCGGAACTCATACACTCTGTTTATTATTTATATTGATTGGTGTTTTGAGAGCAGGATGCCAAAGTATTTGGGGGGAAGATAAAAGTCATCTCCTGCAGTTCTGGCTGCCCTCTCTCAGTATAACCATAGCTGAGAACCAGGTGCTGCAGCACTGCACGATGCCAGCTGCCTCCCTCTGTGGTGTGCCAGTCTCATGCCAGCTAAAAGGAGATCGGAAGTCAGGAGCTGTGTCCTTATGTGACACTGGGAGTCAAACAGGGAATGGGAACAAAATCCAGGTTGCTGACAGCACATTAATGTTTTAGGCATTTTTTTTCTATCGTGGGTTTCAACAGCATAGTTGTAGGAGCTTTTAAAATGCCTAAAATATAGGGTGGTATTTGTCCCTCCTTAGTAAACTTGATTAGTGCCTTTGCCTTGTCAGAAGGAATATAACTCAAACCTCAAAGTCCTGGAAATGATAAGGTAAGGGCCAGCACAGGTATTAATATAATCTTAATTCTGCCCAAGGAACTGATTATACCTATTGGAACAGCTCAGTAACATGAGTGTTTATAAAAAGCAAAGGAAAGCACAGCTGTTAGGTCACAGCAAGCACTGCCTTTGGAGAAGCAAGTGTACCTTTATAAGGATGGGATTTGTTAGGTTGCCTTGTTAATGACAAGGTTTTCTTCTCGCACATTGTCAGTGATGTGATGAGATGTGGCATGACAGTTGGTAGTTTGTGGGTACAATGAGATGTCACAGAATGAAGGAATCCTCAGATCAAAGGGGGAGGATTTATAACATTTAGTGCAGCTGAGAACATTTTAAAATGTACAGGAGGAACATTTGCTGTAGCTCATTTGCTTTAGATGACTAACACAAAATTGGATGTGGCCCATGGTGGCTGTGCTTTCTCCCAAGGGGGGTTATAGTGCTTGTAACATGGAATAAAATGTTCTAAAAGAAGGTTTTAGCTGCACTTTGGTGCTTATGTTACCTTAACCTCTTTTTTCCAAATTAAGTTGTGAGAATTTTGCTACCCATCACATTTCTGGAGGATGTGCTTGTAAGGCTTTCAGTCACTTTGACATTAATTACATTGAATAAATATTTTTTCAGTACTGTCATGCAACAGATTTTCTTTATTAGGGCAACGAAGACATGTGTCCAGGAGTCTAGCGATATGACCTTCCCCTGCAATACAGGAGACACAGATTTTAATTCCTTTGACCTGGAAGACAAGAACAGATATACTGAGTCAATTCAGGGTTAATTTTGTTTTCATCTACTGTTCTGTCCCAAGCAGGGCCAATAATAGGTGAATAAGGTATAAACAGCTCAGGAATAGCACTTTGGTCTTTCCAGCTTTTTGATGTCTGCCTCTTTATGTTTAGTAATGCTTGATGTGTTTTTCTTACATAAATTCTTTTAATGGGAGATCAGATCTGTCATGTCTCAGAAGGTAGATTCAATTCCTCTCATACAGTAAAAAGGGAAATATTTATGCAAGGCTGCAGCTGGTGATGTTCAGAGGCTGATCCCAGGCTGGCTTGGCAACTGCATACACCTCTTCAGACATGAGCTCAGGTCTCCACTGCTTCCTTGGGCATGGGGACTGGAAGTGAGCGGATCATGGCTAGGCTTTGCGAACAAAGATTTGGGAAGGGCTCTACCCACATTTGCTACAAGCGCGTTGGTGGCTAAAGAGGCCAGTACAAGATAGACAAGTTTGGTTGCAAAAGGCACAGCAGAAAGACTCCTTGGATGGTATCGGTAAGACACGATTCTTTCTGCATTGTCTTTTCTCCTCGAGAGTGATCCTGCGTTCTCAAAAGAAGCAGCAGCGTTGTAGATAGTGTGTCTTCAGGCCTGTCGACTGGAGGCCAGAGTAGACCAGTTCTGTTGATCAATATGGCCAAGGTTGAGATGTTGTTTCAGGGAGTCCTTGTATCTTTTCTTCGGGGCTCCTCTCTTGCAGCAGCCAGTGGCAAGTTCACCATAAAGCAGGATCTTAGGGAGGTGGTGGTCCTTCATCCTGGAGACGTGCCCTGCCCAGCGCAGCTGTGTTCTCAGCAACATGGCCTCCAATGCTTGTGACTGCTGCTTGTTCTAGAACAGATGTATTGGTCACATAATCTGACCAGTGGATGTTTAGGATTGTACAGCGTTGATGGAAGCGTTCTAGGAGACGCAGGTGGTGGCGGTAAAAAGTGAGTGGTATACTAAGTATACTAACAGAGAGTGTGATGGGTGGTTTCTGTAAGAAATGGTGTGACTTCAGGAGAGGATTCGTAGTTGAAGAGTCTGAAAAACCACAGATACCTTTCTTAAGCCTGAAGGCAGTCCAAGACTACAGTTACACCTTCCACTGACCACCGCTTATCTCAGTATTTTCTGTGGAGCATGTTCAGAGGAACATTGTAGGGAGAGGTGAATCCCAACGAGATCCTAGAAGCTGTTGCCTTGCAGTCTGTCTGTGGATTAAGCTGTCAGTCATTTATTTTCCTCGCATTGTGTTTGGTTCCATTTTCTTATAGGGAAGGGCAACAGAACTTTTCCCACATACTAAATGTTTTCAACTCTTTTCTTATTGGTGCTGATGGATTGGCTGTGCTTCTAATGTAAAATTTGATTTTCCGTGCCAACTTCAGAGGACGTTGACCTGACTCCCCAGATGAGTCCTTACACTGCCCTCAGGATGTTCACAGAATTGCCTGTCCTTAAGGCCTGAACCCAAGTGCCTGGGACAGCCTCAGATTCAACATCTAAGCGCAGCATTGCCTCACTGACCTGCAGTGGCTGTCCCATGAGACTGCCTACAGGTTGTCTAGCATCAGATGCCCAGCTGCTTATGACCACTTCTTTTTTAATGCCTTGCATCACTCGGCACAGCTAGAATTAAACTCTTAATAATGTTTTCACTACTGTTTTCCCAGTGGGACACTGGGTGTCAGCAAATTAAAGAGTAAGCTGAGCCAGTAAAGGAGTTTTGGAATACTTGCAGAATTTTCTTTTTGGAGAGGAGAGACCCGAGCTCTCTGGGATTTGCTGGGTTAGCTGGGAAGCACTTGATAATGTTAGCTAAAAGCCTTCCCCCCCAACCCCCTCCCCACAATACTCTACTCTCTTCCTTTTGTCACACAGCCTTCCTCTGCTGTCTCTACAAAAAGGCTTTCATGCAATCTGGCTGGTCAGCTGTTGCCTTTGTGCATTGTGCTGCATCTGGGATAAAGCATAAGCTCTTCAGTTCTGATGCTGTATAGTGTGGCATGAATGCTGATGGTGCTCTGGTTAAGAAAAAAGCAACCAAGCAAACTTACAATTAACAATAACTAAGCAGATTTGAGAACAGCGAGTTCCTAGAAGTAGTTGCATTTTTAAAGGTTTTCCTTTTCTTTACCCTTTCAAAGCTATTCCTGTTGGTATTTTCACTATGGAAAACTGCATTGTTAGGAAACAGACTTGTGTGTAAATCTCAGTATTATAAGATTTGTCTTCAGAAAGCCAATTAGTGCTTGAAGTAGAAGCTAATCGACTTCACAAGTGTGATTTCCATCCTTTGTCTTACGAACATCAGCAAGCAATCACACTGCAGAACACCTCGAGAGAGAGCAAGTACTAGTCTGTTTCTGTACATCTTTTCTGTATGTTTCTATTTCTAGAGGTTTTTTCCACTAACCTAACATGTGTCAGTGTGACCACTATGTGAAGACAGAACAATCTGCTGCAGTAGAGCTCCTCCAGGGTTATAGCTTAATCAGCCCTAGGGTGAGTTCTTAAGTAAAGGAGGTGAGAAGCTGTAGAAAAGAAGCAAAGATGTGAAGTCTTTGAAAGGAAGAATGTGACTTACTTTGTAGAGGGGAGCAATTTAATTACACATTGCAAGCATAAATAGAAAGGAATTCTATTATAAATTGTGACCCATAAGATGAGCATCCATCCCAATTTCCCTTGGTGTAGTGAGCAGTTAGAAATCAAACTCACACTGATCCTCAAAAATATGGAACAAAAAAGTCCCACCTGTGCTGTAATCAAGCACCAGGTTGCAGACAGACCCCAGTGCACATCAGTATAAAGATCACAATTCATCCTCTTGAGAAATGTTTTGTACATTAGTTTGATTAGTTTTTACCCAATACCCTGTTGTTTTAGGCATGAATTAGCAAGGAGTTTTGGCACTGTGTATAAATGTCTGCAGTTCTGTTTTCAACACTTTTTAGAACTGACTACAGGTATCAGTGTGGGCACTAAGCACCTTTACTTGTAGTAGCCTATGTATCTAATTCTGAGAAGGGCCAAATGCTGCAGTTAAGGCACTATGTGATGTAAAAATGAAGATACTCCAGCTCTGGCTGTAATCGGCAGGCTGTCAAGTTGTATCAGCCTTTGGAAGCAGAGGAGAGGAGAAAATAGAAAGTTAAGTGCTGTCGAGCAAACGAATGTCAATGCATGGATTGACCTCTGTGTATTTGTTCTTCATTGGCAGGTTGATGACACCTGGAAGTGAAATTCGGTTTGTCCACAAGCACATGGGTCTGGTGCCAGGCTGGGGAGGAGCTGCCCGGCTGGTGCGGATCGTGGGCAGTGGGGCAGCCCTGCAGCTGCTGAGCGGGACTGCGCGGGTGGACCCCGAGAAAGCTTTGCGCCTGGGATTCTCAGAGCAGACCCTGTCATCTTCAGATGAAACCAGGGCCTTAGAAGAAGCCCGAGCCTGGCTGAGTCAGTACACAGAGGGTCCAGTCAGTGTGATACGGGCTATGAAAAAGGTGGTGACAGCAGGAAGAGAGCTCCCACTGGAAGATGCCCTAAGGACAGAAAAGGACATTTTCGGAACTGTATGGGGTGGGCCTGCCAATTTACAGGCATTGGTTAGAAGACCAAAACATAAATGATGGTCAGTGTATAAGAAATTGTTCTTGACCTTTTTGCAAACAAAGCTTTCACTAAAGCAGGCATTGAACTTGCATCATTTAAGGACTTGCCCATTTAAAACTGGCATTAACATTCCTGCCATTCACTTCAGACAGTCATATTTGGTGTGCAAACACAGAGAAATCCTTGGCAGATTCTTTACTGTCCTAATCACCCACTGAATGGAGATTAGTGAAATTAGTATGTAAAGGTAAATATTGTGCTGAGAATAGAACTATAATTCTTTTGGAATGAAGCTGAAGATTATTTTCTTTGGAGCTAATTTTTTCTAACTGCTATGGAAAGTAATTACTTGAGTTATAATGTTTATTTATTTGCAGAACAGGTGCATCTAAAGTTGCAAATTATGAGTTCCCCAACATGAGACCAGTGTCTTTAAGCAGCTTGGAAAGGATAATAACCAGTGAGAGGGTAGTTTTTATTTTTTCATCTCTACTCAGTTCTTCGCTATCCAAGGATACTTCAATTTTAATGGTGTTTTTACAGAAGAAGCTTTAACTTACTGAGACCTTCTAGCCCTCATTCACTGACACTGATTCAGGTTTTTAAATGCATTTAGGAGTATTCTCACTGCTCAAGGAATCAACTACCTACACATGCATCTGCACATGCCCATATCCTGGACCTGTGCAAAGCTGCTGACCTGGTTCTTTACATAGAATCTAGTTGAAATCTTGGAAGGACATGATGAATCATACTCCCAAATGGGATGTCCTTAACTGACTGGGTGTCAGAGTACTTCAGCATCCTGGTAAGACTTGTGTGTGGATATGTCTATATGTTTCTTTAGAGCATTTTTTCTGGTAGGGCATATTTGGGCTGATCAGAAGATTTGGAACTGGGTTTCCACTTCATGCTGGTGACTATTCAAGTAATTAGATAACTCATTGGGGAAGGTTTTATCTTTAGAAAATAGAAACTGACAGAGTCCCTGCTTTGGCAGATGATTCTTAAAATTAAACATCTATGAGAGCAAAACCATACAGACATATCTATGACTGAGAGTTTCATGTACTGTTGGTTAGGATACTCTTGTCTCTAAATCCAGCAGAGACGGAGATCTGAGCCCAGAACCCAAGTACTCCGTGGGAGCATGTTAACGAGGAAAGTTTGGGCTCTGTGTTTGGCCTGACTAGCTCCAGATGATGGAACAAGCTCCCCTAAGAAAGGCAATTTCGTGGATGGAAATCCATGTTACAATTTCCACAGTGTGGTACGATTCCTGAGTTTTAGACAGTGAGGTAACTACATGTTTGAGGATTTGGGGACAAATCAAAGATGAGAATTTGGCTTGGATTGCCTGTTAGGATTCTGCAGGTTTTGAGCAGATGCTGTGATCTGCTATGGATGTTTCACTATATGGTTTTCACAGCAAGGAGCCCAAAGCAATGAAGAGAAATGCTGAAGAAAGGGATGTGTTTTGAGTTGGCACCTCAGGGAAGATAAGGAACTTGCCTCCACCCTGTAGATCCTGCATCTTTGCCTTAATATCTGAAGCACTGATGGAGAATGATTTCAAATGTCTCTTCCCCAATAACAAAGTTCAATTTTTACTTTCAGGTTAGAGAAGAGACAGGAATGAGAACATGGGGAGACTGTTCTGGTTTGTGCCTCTTTCTCCCCCTGCCCCTTTTTATTCAATATCTCAGTTGTTAGTCCCCTGTGTAGCTGGATTCTTTCCTGTGCCTTAAAGGACTTCAAACCCGTTACTTCACAGGTATGAATGTTTTAATATAGTCTGGCTGCACTTGACTGTTTAGTAATGAAACTGTTCTGCTTTTCATGGAGTTCCTCAAGACTCATGAGAGACTCCAGACTGCCAGCATCACTGAACCTTCAAAGCATGCTCCAGTCCATACTCATCCAGCTTTTTGTAGCAATAGCACATCACGTTGATGTGAGTCAAAATAAATGTGCTTTAAAGGGCAACTGGTTATGTCTTTGCTAGTAGCAAGAACAGATTTGCAAATACTAATACCCTAATGACATTTTTTAAATGGGTGTGAAAATTGCTTAGAACCTGAGCAAGACTCTTGAATTTTTTTTTCTTTAGTGCATTAGGCTCATAAATGTGTATTGGGTGATACAAATTTGAAAAGGAGGAAATTGTAGCAAAAAAGCAGAATTTGGTTGCCTTCACACTTTGAACCAGATCGGTGCTGCCAGTAAGTGAAACTCAGTATGTACACCTATTGGGGATCTCTTTCCATTTTGATTTGTAGACAGTGAGCTTATTTCTCATTTCAGCAAATGCATTTCCCCAGCCACCCTCTCTGACTTGTATCAAAGGTCAACATTTCCTTCTAAGAAAACAGGACAAATATTTAACTAGTACAGAGCAAGACACACTCAGACAGAAAGGGTTATGGAAACTCATTTTGTTGATATCATAAATATACCAAACATAGGTACAGGACATTCTGAAGATCATTACAGGTCTTGATCAAGGATTTTGTGAGTACTCTAATACCATATTCTCTGGTCTATTTTCTATTTGAAAAGGTATTTTAGAGCCCTTCACGTGAAAACCAGCCCAGGTGAACTACCATGAGTGCTAGGATGAGAGCTCCAGACGGAGATGAAATGGAATCCTGTTTTCCCCCTTTGAAAGCTAAATGCTTTATTTCATAGAATACTTGCTTATCATCTTAAAGTGACAAATACCTGTAACCAGCAGCTGATAAGCATTTGTATTTTCTTTATTAAAAGACTACGAGCTTCCTCTCAGATTTTTTCCCCTTCTGAAATTGCTTAAAACCAAACAAGCTCTAAATGCACAAAATAAATTAGAAACATCAAAATTGATAGTCCCAGTCTCCTAATTAAATAGCATGCTAGCTTTTGTACTTCCTAGGGACTAGTTTACCAGCTCCCTCCTCAGCAAACTAAGTTTCCTATTACATTGTGAAGTGCCCATCTTGTTCTTTCCTCTGTGTAGTCGATCACGCTGAGGCCTTAATGGGGGTGTGGATTCTGCACCAAGCATTTAAGGGTTGGGTACTGGAGATCACCTTTAGCAATATAAATACTTCTATCTTATTTGCTGCTGATAGAAATATACTAAGCAAGTGGTCAATCTAGATAAGCAAGGAGTTCTTGCAGAATGCTTGGTTCAATATGATTTTTTTTTTTAACCATGACACAGGATTCCTGTATCTGTAGTTAGCTGTTCTCCTGGAAATGAAAACTTGCTGTAGATTACATAGTATTTAAATTTCCTTTTTCCTTCTGCTCCACTGTGCATTTCTCTGGCTGTGCTGTACAAGTTGAAAATCACTTAATGCACAGGATTACAGAAAACCACAAAATGCAATGTGGCTGTGGCTTTGCAAAAATAGACAGAGAACATGTCTCCTACTGAAGGTAATGGTTTAAATACAAGATGGGAATTACCAGTTACTACTTTTTCCTAGCTTGATCTGGGGAGTGCATTTACCACTCTGATGATTGGCTATTAATCTCTCACTAGCCATACTTTATTTTAGTACTTCACAGCTGCGGTCAGCCAGAAGCCAAAAGCAGCATCATGGGTGGGGGGCTAAACAGAGGTCTGCCTCTTTGCTTTGGTCAAAAAACTCAAGGATAATCACTGATGAAATTATTTGTAGACTGTTTGGGCTGAAAATCCTGAAATTAAGTATATAGTGAGTCAAGTTCTTGTATTTAGCTCCTTGCTTTCTTCAACACATATCCCTCACATAAAGTAAAATGTGTGCACATAGCAGAAGTGTTCTTACTGAAGGCCTTTGCAGCACAAAGTCAGATTTTGATTAGAGCCACTGTGTGCTAATTCAAAACAGAGAAATAAAACAGCTAGCAACTAACAAATAGAGAAAAAAAGATTCCATCCTGTTTCCTTCTGAAGTCCACGTTACTGGCTTATTTTCTTATGGAACTGGAAGATGATGGTAAAAATCTGTGATCAAGAGCATCTATTCCTAGCTGAGAAAGAAGGAAATCTTCCTTATTTCATCCTCGTCTCCTCTGCACTTTCCTGGCCCACTGATCTCACCTGTAGGCAGAGGAAACAAACTAGAGGGCTGGCACAACTTTGTCCAAGATTAGACACGTCAGCCATCATTACGGGAAGGAGAACATGTTAGAAGTTTAAGTCTAGCATCTTTAAAAATCATCCCTTTTAATTCCACTCAAATGGTTGTTTGTCTAAAGCAACTTTTGTTTTAAGAGCTGTAGTAGCTACCTATCAGCTACTGTCCCTTTCTGTTCAGGGACACATACACTAAGAATTGGAGTTTAATTAGCTTGATTATAAAGGTTGAATCCAGAATCAACTAATGCTGTTTCTCAGTTTGAAAAAAATGTAAAACAACTGCCACAGACAGAAAAGACAAGCTGTGCTTTTCAAGATCTGGCTTCTAACATTCTGTGATACACAGAAGTCCATTTTTAGAAATGCAGCTCCTAAATTGCTAGTACATGCACAAACTACCCCTTCTGTGCTGCCACTAGTTTTGCTATGAACAGATAAACAGCAATGCAGTCCTTAATATCCATGTCCTTTGTTACAGGGTCAACTTTGATAACTTATGCTCTTTCATTTCAATATTTCTGCTGTTAAGGTAGTGTGTGATACTTCTGCCCACCATGAACAATGAAGTGAGTTAATCAGCTCTTGAGATGAGAAATGAGTGTTGTCTGTGTGAGCAATAAGCCTGCAACTCATGATTTTTCAGTAGAAAAGATGATACTCCTACAGCATTGTGTTTGAGAAAAAGCCAGTCAGGGATGCAAGAACTTCAGGATGCCACTCAGAGCCAGTCCTCTCTTCTGGCAAAAACAGGAAGTTGTTTTATGATAATTTTCTTTCAAATTCCTCCAGTGAAGTTCAGTTAAACTGGAAACATATCAGAGATTATTACTGATAAAATGTAGTTTTATTAAATTATAAATTCTGTAACAAAAACAAGACAGATCAAGAAAGACCTCAAAAACAAAACTACAAGGACTAGATGGCAAAGCCAGTGAAAAAGCCATGGAGAGCATGTAGGATTTGCAACACAAGTTAACAGCATTTTTACATTTCCATTGAAAGAAGGTAAATGATTGCTCTTGTCTAGCAAAAACACATTTTAACTCCAAACTCACATCTATTTTCTCACATTAAATTAAGCATCCTGCTTCACACCCAACATCTTGCCTGATTCCACATTGCTTTAGTGTTCTTTTCATACATCAATCCATGCAGAAAGTAGTAAGACACTTAATGCAACAGTCAGGTAATGAAGACAATTCAAGTTGTACAGTAGATATACATTGGCTAAAGAGGGATAGAGTATCTCCAGGGGAAAATGCTACAAAATAAACACAAGACATTCTCAAGAAAACTGGGCATTGCTAAGTAGCTTTCAAACCATTAACAGGACAACCCAGTTTCCTACAGTTAAGAATCTTCCAGCTGAGACATGTTAAGAGACTTAAGTTAAAACAGGCCAAATCTGTTTCTCCCCTTCACCCCACCCTCCCACCAAACACACTGCTAGGTTTGAGTGCGATGCCAATGTGGACAGAAAATTTACAGAAAATTACAAGCGAGTTTTTTTTCGCATGGCTCTAGATTTAAACTTCAGTGACTGTGCACTGTCCATCTGGCCTCCTAGATCTTACACTTGTGTTTACCACCCCACCCCCTGCCACTGGTCTATCTGCTCCTGACTGGCTTGCACTGGTGTTCAAATGTCTCTGCTGGACAGAGGATGGGCGTTCCTGAATGTGGGCAGACACATCTTCGCTATCGCTGCTGGCATCCGATTCGGTCTCCTCAACAGAGGTGTCAGGGACTGGCACCCTACCAGAAGATGATGATTCGTGGTCTTCTTCTCCCTCTCCCCTATGACTCCTTTCAGCCATACTGTCTCCATTTATTTGCAAGTGGGCAAAAGAGTTCTCTAGAGAATTGCTTGTATCAGGTGATGGCGTTGAAGGACTCAACAGCTGACCATCCAGTGATGGCAGAGGCCTCACAGAAATGGGTGCTAGGGGCTGCACAGCCGCAGCCCCTGGAGTCAGTGTGCTGTCTGCACCATCAGCAGAGCTCTCTCTTGCCAGGTTGACAGTGTTAGTGTCACAGTCCAGCCTCAGCCCAGCCACTCCCTTCTTTGGTATATCTATTATGTCCCGTTTTATTTTTCTGCGACGTCCATGCTCATTTCTCCTATACTGTACCATATTTTCAAGATCTGCTACATATAAAAAACCAGCAATGAGCATTTCAGTGCTCTTTTTACCCTTGGCAAAGGCATCTTCCAGCTCTCTGCTGGTACGTTCATCATACTGCCACCAACCATTTCTACCTTCATAGTACCAAGCATATTCTCCATTGCCTCTGCTCGCTGCTTTGAGTTCTTCAGGTGACAATAAGGTTGGCTTGTCAAGAAAATCCTCAGGAATCTCCTGCCGGCAGAGTGCACATCGTTTCCCAAGCCAAGAAGCTCCCTTCACACACAGATAGCAGAAAACATGTTTACAAGGCAGACTTACAGGATGGACACATGTTTGCAGACAGATAGCACATTCAGGGACTGGCAGGGAAGGTGCTGCATTAGTACACGACTCATTTGTCTTCCTGTTTGTGGGAAGCATGTTGATCGAATGATCTATTTCACCACAGCCAGCCATCCTGCAGAGGATCAAAGAGATTTAAATCAGTTTATTGTGTCAACTTAAACTGGCACCTTGCATCACATTTTACCTCAGTATCCATAGAACGAGACACCTACCTCAATTTAAGGTAAGTTACCATTTATGAAGCTCAACTCAAAAAAATATTGATAGGTTTACATTCAGTTTCCTGAAGTGACAAACTAAATCAAGTACTGGGAGAATTTCTTTTGCTGATCACCAGTCTTTTATCTGTTTAATTTTCACCATGTTAACATACCAAGTTAGAAAATTTTGGAATTTCCTCTATTCATTTGCTGAAGCAGTGTTGACTAATAAACCTTCAGGCAACCAGTTATTTTGGTGCCTCCTTAGGAAATTTAAAGAAACTCTGATTCTTTCCTCAAGAGGTGACCTAGCTGCAGACATTGAACTTAAAAACAATCTCTTTTTAGACTACTGGTGATCACTAATTTGATTAAAGGATTGCCTGAACAGTACCTCAGACTAGGTATATACAGTAGAAAATATGCCTGGCAGCAGCACTCAGCTGAAGTATTCCCCCACTCTGTTTCTTAGTTCCCATCCACCATGGTACGCTATCCCTCAAACTGGGCTCAGAACCACCACAGGGCTGCAGAAAGAACCAGACTGGAAAACTGAGGTGGTCTTTTCAAAAATACCTTGGATTCCTTCTTCCTAAACATCAAGAGAACTCCCTGATATATCTGAGTGCCTCTTGAAAGGCATCACTGCAGACCAGCAGAAGCAGCAGTATATTCCAGCAGACACACAGCTGTGACTTGACTGGCTTGGGAAGTCATTGCCTTTACTTTCTCTGGCCATATCTTATTTCTGTCATAAAATATGATTTTGTAACTGTAAGAGAACGGGTAATGCAAAACTGTGTCACTTTGGCATTGTGTAGGATTTAAGTAGTTGAAAAATTCTAGCCTAAATATGCAAATGCCTTCTCAACTACATTTTTGCCATGGCAATCTTTCACAGTCTGTTTCATGGTAATTTTCCTTTTACTTATTAACAGTGAAAACCAAACACCAGATATCAAATGAGGGAGAAGAATGGGCTTTGCGGAACAGGGTCTAAAA